TATATATATATATATATATATATTTAAAAAAAATTAAAATCCTGAATAATGATTATATTAAAAAGGGCAATAAACGTTTAGATAATGCAAGTTATGCGAAGGTTTGAAGTGGACTCTGGACAATTATGGGTCACCACCCCACCCAACATTTCGAGGTTTTGTTTCCATTTGTATTTAATTATTCATAAAATTATGGAAACCCCCATAAAGTGGGATATCATAGTTTTCATCCAATTATAAATCCAAAACCCTCTTCAACCCCTTGCCAACTTTTTAAAAACCGTGTTATTTCTTTATTCATATAAAATATTTATTTTAAAAAATATTTAGATTTCTAGTTGTTTTCTTTAAAAATATATACAGTAAATTTAAAACCATGTTTTATTTAAATATAATTATGTATTTATTCGCTGCATGGAAAAAATATGGATGAAATAGCAATTAATAATGCAATTGTAGTTGCGAATTGCTTTTGGTACAATGTTGGTTGATTACGTAGTTGAATACTGGCCAGTATCAATAGTGTTTGACCGACGTACCGTTTACATATAATGCGATAACATTTACCTAATTATATAATCTCCTAACCTACCAAAAGGATAGTCCAACAAATATTTTTATTATTACAAGTTAACGAAACCCTAAAATATGATGGAGAAAGGAATTATATAATTGGAATTTTTTTTTTAAATAGACCACGAAAGGTTATAGATGTCATTAAATTATGAACCGATATTTTTAAATTTTATACATTCAGGCTAATTTTCATTCGTGTTTGAATTAACGTGGTAAATGGTAAAGGATCATATATGCCAACCCTTCAAATTATATGAATGAACGAATCCAACTTGTTAGTTAATGGGTATATGTGCCCATTGTTTTACTTAAAAAATTAATTTCATTATAAATTTTATAAACTTTAAATAAAAATTGTTAAATGTTCTGATAAAAAAATATAAATTTATCTCTTAAATCATACTAAAATTTATACTGCCCCAATGATAATTTTTTTAGGTACGTCCTGATTATATAATCAAAATTTTCGTTATAAAAAATATGAAAACTTGAATTATATACTTAGAATTTTCCTAAAACTACTACCTATTTCTCAAACTCGGATTAATAAAAATATATTATTTTTGGAAAATTGATTTTCAATCGGAATCCATTAAATTTGTGTATTGCGTTAATTTGATCATGTGTTTTCGTTTATCAATTTATTTTTTGATGTGTTCGATTCATTGTTCATCGGAAAATTATATTGGTTTGATTATATTAAGAGGAATAACCATGTGAAAAAAAAATGAATAAGAAAAAGTAATTGAAAAAAAGGAAATTATAAAAGTGAGTTGTCAATTAGGTCATCTAAGTGCCCAAAATTTCGCAAATGGGAGTTAAGTTAACGGTTGATATACTCATCATTATGCCCCCAAAAAAGGGTCATATAATGTGTAGACTTTGCCTCCAATCATGCCAAGCTGTATATCTTCTTCTATATATTATAAAATTCTTATATATATCTTAGTTGATTCATATATTCAACCACGAAATTAAAAAAAAAAAGTTTTTGTATTTTTATATATTTTTTTCAAGAATATAAGAAAAATTATCAATTAAGATATTATAGTAAAAAATAATAGAAAGTATGTGTTCCATTCGATTATACAAATATATACATACATGTGTGTGTGTGTATATATATCATTAATAAAACCTTCACCAAACGCAAATGTTTTATGACGTGGGATCTAACATGATGGGCTAACACAATGTTCTGTCTACTAGACGTGTATATCGGAATTGGTCTGATCTCGCTATTTATTATTTTTATTACGTGAATTCAACTCTAATAATCGTAATAACAGTAATGACAATTAGTCTATGAATTAGGGAACTGTTTTTTTAATATCACATGGCATTTTAGAAATTAAAATTGCATAAAGTTGGGGTTAATAGTTTGGTTCCAAGCAAGGAATAGTCCGCAATCCATTAAACAACTAAAATTTCTATAAATAAATACAATAATTTTATATTTTTTTTTCTAAACGTATAAATAAATAAAATAAAACGAATGATGCGTTTCAGAAAATTTTGTAAAGTTATTTTTAAAAAAAAATGTGAAAAAGCTTTTCAGAAGGAAAAAAAAAATGGTGGGTCATCCTCCTTACACCTCAAATCTAAGATTCGTAAACCATGAGAAGGCAAATCTCAAATCTGTCCTCCTATTATTACATGTGACTGTTGTTCTTCTTTCTTTTACCATCTTTGGCCGAGGAAAAGAATCCATAACAATGGATTTAGTAAAGAGAATTTGGAATACATTAAGAAAGCATTACAGAAAATAAAAGAAAGGATTTTTAATAAGTTGAGAGAGAGAGAGAGAGAGAGAGAGAGAGAGAGAGAGAGAGGAGAGAGAGACAATCGTGATAAGAGGAAGAAGAACCCCTGCAAAGAGAGAGAGAGAGAGAAGGAATAGAACATCCTCTGTTTCCATGGTGGTCCTTGTTCATTTCTCCAGATCTTAGGTTCTCCGCATTTTCTCATCTGGGTCATCTCCAAAATGGTGAATTTTCTCTCCCAAGTTTGAACTTTTTTCTGCTGTTCTCTTCTCGCTCTGGTATTTGCCTCTTCGATGTTCCTTCTCCCAATGCTTCTATCTTTCTTTTCGTGTTCCATTATCCGTGTCTTTTTGCTTGATTGTTCTGGACTGTCTCTGAATTTTCCCCGTGTTTTGCTTTTGATTGGATACGATCGAATGACTCTGCGTCAGATTTGAAGATCACCCAACTCCTATTTGATCGGAACAAGGATCGGATTCTGTCCAGTTTTTCAGACAAAAGTATGTTTCCGCTTCCTTTCATCGATTTCTAATTTCACTTGCTCTCATTTCCTCGGACTTTGATGCTCGTTGAATCCCTGCGTCCAACACGTCGCTTTGAGTTGGATAAACCTTTGAATTTCGAGTTTCCGATCGTTAAATCCATTGGTTTCGATGTTGGACGAACTGGGAAATCCCATTACACACTGATCCGGTCCTGAGATCGGATTCATGGCTCGATTGCGTGGTTGTGTTCATGTACGGGTGGTTTTTTTTTTTTTTGCAGGAGAAAAAGATGGAATCGGATCTGGGTAAGCTCTTCATCGGTGGGATTTCATGGGACACGGATGAAGAACGGCTACGAGAGTATTTCAGCAAGTACGGAGAAGTGGTCGAAGCCGTGATCATGAGGGATCGAGCCACGGGACGTGCCCGTGGCTTCGGATTCATCGTCTTCGCAGATTTTTCTGTCGCGGAGAGAGTGATCATGGAGAAGCACATGATCGATGGCCGCACGGTTAGTAAGTTTTCTCATTTTTTTTCCCAGGAATTATCTGGTTTCATGTCGGAAGGTCATAACTTTGATGTCCTAAAGTAGGAAATGGCTCTAAAGTTTCGGATTTTATCCAATGGTTCTCACTTGGGAATGTTCCTTTTCGTACGAACTTCGAATTCATACCTTCCTCGTAGCTGCATTTGCCTGGATTCTGATCTGATCGTTACAGCGATTGAAACTGTAATGTCAACTTCAGAAACAATGGCGGCTTTTGTCTGGTTTTTTTCCAGGTTGAAGCTAAGAAGGCTGTTCCAAGGGACGATCAGCAAGCGCTGAAACGACATTCCAGTCCCATTCACCATATGTCACCTGGACATGGCGGCGGAAAGACGAAGAAGATCTTTGTCGGAGGTTTACCATCTAACATCACAGAGGCCGAGTTCAAGAACTACTTTGATCAGTTTGGTACTATCTCTGATGTCGTGGTAATGTACGATCACAATACTCAGAGGCCAAGAGGCTTCGGTTTCATCACTTACGATTCTGAGGAAGCTGTTGATAGAGTTCTCCACAAAACCTTTCACGAACTCAACGGGAAAATGGTCGAGGTCAAAAGGGCAGTGCCGAAAGAGCTTTCCCTCACTCCTAACCGAAGCCCTGTTCTTGGATTCGGTAACTATGGAGGTTCAATTAGACCTTCTGCTAATAGCCATTTCAATAGTCTTGCTCCTGGTTATAATGTAAACTCAGTTGGTCGGTTTAGTCCTATTGGTAGCGGTAGAACTGCGTTTTCAGGTCTTGGGCTCAGTGTGAATCCTGAACTGAGCTTGAATCCAAGCTATGATGGAACAACTTCCACATTCTTGAATGCTCCCGGGTATGGCAGGATTCTGAGCAACCCTTACTACAATGGTTCAGCATTGCCAAACCGTTACAGCACTCCGATCGGGTTTAACCGACCCGACCCTCCTTCATATAACTTGAGCAATAGAGACTTCTGGGCAAACAGGACTGACTCTGCTGGCTCCGGTTGGAATCTTGGTGTCTCAGTTGGAAATACCCGAGGAGGAAGTTGGGGACTTTCTTCTGTTGCCAGTGATAACGATGGCTACGCAAGAAATTTTGGGACAAGCTTTGGACCTTCCATGTCTCCCTTCTCGGGAACAAACGGGTTTGAGGGTTCTGTAGGAGAATTATACAGAGGCAGCTCGGGTTACAGCGACTCAACATGGCAGCAACCACTGCCTCCGCAGTCATTTAATGAGTTAGAAAGGGGATCTTCTCGTCCCTTCGGCTACAGCATTGGCAATGTAAGCCCAGACCCACCTGCCAATGGCTCAGAGAGTTACACCGGAAGTTACAGCGTCGGAAATAGGCAAACAAATAGAGGTACATCGAGATATAACTCATGTCTGATCTGATCGTGTTCCTCTCGCGAAGAAGACAAGGATTTATCTTTGACCCTCTGTTGATCTACGTTTTCAGGGATCGCCACATAGGTGATCACACAAAAAACTGATGATCAAAAGGCGATGAGGAATTGTAGATGAACAGCCATTGCCATTGCAGAGTTTGATGAGTTTTTCATACGTTTCTGGAGTCTGATAACTATCAACTAGGCTTCTTCTTCTTCTTCTTCATCATCATCATCATCTTGAAGATGGAAAAGGAACAAACTTTCACTGTAAGTTCTGCGGAAATTCGAGTTTTTTTTTTATAGATTTTTGTGTCTTGGAGATACATTAAGATCAGATCTTGGCGACAACACTCAGCGGCTCCATATCAAATAACCAGATGGTAGATTCTCGATTCATATTCCTTAGGATCTTTCTCTCTTAATCGATGGAAATCACTACCCAGATTGAGATTCATGATGTTTTTTGTGTGTGTGTGTGTGCTATGTTCTGTTTTTTTTTTTTTTTGTTGTAATATTATCTTTCTGATAACGGAGCTGTTCATGAGAGAAACACTGTGTGGTGGTGGCGGTGGGGGGATATGCATGTTTTGCTGCATGTCCCTCTCGTGCTTGAGAGATGTTTTTACTTCATTAAATTTCTTTTGTCAATTAATCTCGTGAAAACAAAAAAAAAACTTGTTTCGTTTGATTTGGTTTGGGTGTATAAAATAAAAGTTTTATGATTTATTTATTTCTCTAATTTTATCGATTATGTTATTATTATTATTATTATTATTATTATTATTATTATGTCAATTGATTTTACAATGGTGTTTTTAATTTTTCACTTACTAAAGTTTTAATACCCTTCTTTCTTATATTTAGGCTAAAGTGAGGAATATGAGTATTCAAGTATAAAATACAAATAAAATTTTTATTTCTGAATAATTTAGATTTTTTTTTGTTTAGAAGAATATTTTAACTTCAAAGAAACATAATTTGTAAAGTTTTTTTTTTTTTTTTTTATGAAACTGAAACTATCCTTTTATTCTGTCAAACAACGGAAATGAAAGAGCTGTGGACAGACAGGTAGGACCGATTGAAGACTATGTCCAAAAACTTTGGTTGCTTTTACCCATTTCTATCTGTAAAAGATTCAAGTGCAAATTATTAAGTAATAAATTTTTATTTTTATTGATTTTGAGTTTTATATTTTCCTCTAAATTTTTTATGTTTCGATTTTTGTAAGACAAATGTTTACTTTCTAATCGTTTTATTCGCTTTTTTTTTTATATATAAAAAAACAAATAGAATAGTTCTGCATCCAATCCTTTTCGTACAATACAAAGACCAAATGCTTTGGCGGCTTGAATCCGAAATCACTGTCCACCACGTTTCTGCCTGATCCGTTCTTTGACGAAATCGTTGCGGGCTTTGGTACGGGCTTGCTGGGGGGCGATATTTGCGTACGACAGGTTCATGCCGACCACGAAAAGAGCAGCTCCGGAGGCGAAACAGGCAACCGTCAATGCCAGTTTTCCCGGCGTTGATGGGGTACAGAACACCATTTTCACCGTATCCAGTCTGCATATGTTCGTATGAGCACAGAAGCCACGAGCCAGAAGAAACAAGATCGGTCAAACATGTCGGAAGTTCACTCAACAAGTAATCAAATATGATTCAATAGCCGAAGAGTTTCAGCTAACGACACAATCTTTGTTAATCACGGATCGAGTGATGAATGCAAGGAAAAAAACAGCACTGAATTCTGAGATCCGACAATAGATCGATTCATGCACCATTTGATCACATAGACAATCCCTTTAGGGTGCCTATGAGCCCATGAATTCAGACATCATAATATGATTGCCCAGATGGAAATAACGAAACTTTCTCAGAGACATTTCACCAAACAGTTTGTGTGCATTTATTATCTTTTTCCCTCATGGAAACAATCGGTTCGGTAAGATCCCAATCGAAGTCGCATAACCCTTAATAGGTATTACTACTTCGGGATTAGGGATTCTATAAGCTTCTGTCAAAAGTAATACCATCAAAGATTCGACATTTGGCGAATATACAGATCAATCAAAGAGGAAGCAGATTCTTACCTCTACTTCTGGATCACCATTACGAGCAAGGCTAAAGCATTTTCCCCAGTGATGACCTCAAAGTTCAATTCTGGGGTCGAAAAGTAGTCGGGTGGAATTTTAGATTTGATTCTAAATATTTGAGAGGGAGAACACGGGGATGTAGCTCAGATGGTAGAGCGCTCGCTTAGCATGCGAGAGGTACGGGGATCGATACCCCGCATCTCCACTTTCTATTTTTACTTGCAAACAAAAAGTACAAATTTATATTTTGGTTTTTGTAAACATGGCATGCTCATATATATATGTATATATAATATATTGCAACACGGTTTTGAAACATACATTATATGTTACATACAACAAATGAATATCTGTGTGAATCCGTGTTACAAATTTACTCCAAGAATTTTATTCCTACTACAAGGGACAGAGCCTATGAATGACCAGACAAACCCCACAAATTCACCACTGCCAAAGGCTGCCGCGTGAAAAGAGAAAAGTTTTCCACCGCAGTAAAAAAAATCCTCTGGAAAGAAAATACAAAAACACAACTACTGTCGGAGCAGTAGAGAGGCGAGAAGCATAGTGAGAACAGACGGAAACAGAGATTGAGCCACTCGGGTTTCTCCATTATGCGCTTGCGAACCGGCGGTCGGGGTTCCAGGGCTGGAGGAGCTCCGTGCTCTGGCTGCAACCGGAGGTAGAGGCGGCTCAGTGACGTCAGCATCCGAGAAAACAGGGTTTGGAGCCTCGGCCGGAGGCAAAGCCGTGGCAAGGGTTAAAAGACTGCCCGGTTGTACAGGGCTCGAGTAAGATGGAGTTTCTCTGAAGCCCAAGCATCTGTTTCCTGCAAGATGATCAATCACCAAACAATATATAGGTGATAATCAACATGGTATTCACACATATATACACACACGCATGCATTTGTACGTACAAACACATATACACGCACATGCACATTCATACATGCATGCACACATACATATTTACATACGCATACATATATGTATATAAACGTACACACATACATGATACATGTGTGTGTGTATATAGATATGCATGGGTATGTACATATATATATAGCAGAAGGCTACTTGCCTAAATTTCACTTGCATGTCTGCTCAGTTTTTTGCAGTATATACCTCATCTCATCATGGATTCAGGTAATCTTTTATGATTTTGTTTATATGTTAACTTTTCAATAAAGATCATTGGATTTAATTTCCGTATTCAGATTATGTCAAATCAAACATGTAATCTTTTTTTATGTAAAATCTTAGGGAACTTACTTTTGTATCTTGCGGCTGTGAGAGGGAACTCGGTGATGGTTCCATTGACACCGGCTCCGTTCACATACGAGTTGATCTCGACGGTTGGATCAGAGAAGAAGTCAAATGGTTGTGACACGAACTCGTTACGGAACAGTTCCACGTAAACCGGGACCTGTAACTTCTGTAGCTTCGTCACAACATCGGTCTGGCCTGTGGTGAATGGGCCACCGAGGGAGAATACTGATTGTTTCGTCAGGGTAACTGAGTTGGCGAACTTTTTTATGTCTTGGACCGCTGAGTCAAGAATGTCTCGGATGGCTTCTTCGATCTTGTACACAGTCTCGTAACGGCTCTTCTGCTTGAATTCGATTAGGACGGAACTGTTGGTTGACTGGATCATAACCTTTTTAGCCGTTCTGTTGCTGAATCCGGCCTCTCCAAGTGTGTCGAGAACTGCTTTAACCACATCAAGTCCCTGTTTCTCTCTCAAGTATGCTGCATTCTGAAGGAAAGAAAGAGAGATACCCGAAGTGACCGTTAAAAAGATATGAAGGACCTCTTTTTTTGTCGAAAAGACAGAGCACAAGGGTCTGAGATCAAGACAAAACCTTGGTCCAAACGACATCGAAGACTCACCTCCACACTGAGCAAAACACCGGTGAGAGAACTGGAGTTTCTTGCCAGGTTCAAGAAATCAGACAAGGAGATTAGCTTTCCAGAATTTTTCTCCCTCGGATTCCTAAACATGTTGTACTCCCTAAAGGGATTTGCAATAGCAGCTGCAACGAGATTCAGATCGTTGAATTCAGCGATATTTCGCATTTACTTAACAGGGTCTCAAGACAGTCGGCATATACATCAAGAAATACCAACAGAACTAATACCTACAAGTAGCTAGCAGCTAAAACCACAGTATATAAAGCGTGTGAATTAAAATAAAAACACAAACATTCATATTATCTGTAATGAATTGCATTAAGATAAATGATAATGAAGAACAGAAAGGATAAATCTGTAAACTTACGTGCCAAACTTTGGATTTCAGCCCATGTGAGACTAAAGGTGTATATTCCAGCGACCGGGCTGATCTCGGGAACAATCGATGAACGGTTGCTGAAACTAGATCGGGCAACCATTGTGCTGTTCCCGATATCGAATGAACTTAAACAAAAAGGAACACCATCCATTGACATTTGAACAGAACAATCAATAACATCTGCACCATCTTTGATAGCCTTGTCATAAGCCACATTAGTGCAACTGGGGAGGTCTCCGCTCGCACCATCTTTGGAGATGACAAGAAAATCCGCTGAGATATGAACCATCGGGATATAAAATCAGTACAATTTCTGCACCACGATATTGGCATAGGCAGCGAACATAAATGCTAATTCGTCACATCATATACCTTGTTTTGGAGCATTTCTGTCAAGGTGGGAAAAGCAATCTGTAAAGGATAAGGATACATCAGCAACAAAAATGGACATGCGGACCGATACACAAGCAACAGTAACAAGACATTTACTTACCGACAGCTTCAGATGCTGTTATGGGAAAATCAGACAGAACACCATCAACAGAGAGGTTTCCATTGTCCATGAAAGAGAGATACTCGGCCACTGGATCAAAACTATAGTTGTAAGCCATATCAAAGTCATTTGCAAAACCCGATGCATATACTTCCAGACCCGCTTTATGGGCATCCTGAACTAAAGAAGTAGGCGGAAGCAAGTACAGGCTGCTGACTGGCCATATGTAAATCTTGGGAACAATAATTCCCGAGGCAAATGTCTTGATAAAGGTCAGGTTATGAAGGAGAGAGCCATAGGTCTGGTTGGTTGAAGGCTCGACGTCTTCTTGCCCCAGAAACTGAAATACAAATCTCGGCCCTTTACGTCCAAAACGACCAGCAATGCTCCGCAAGAAATTAACTTCGGGAGAAGAGATAAAATCAATAACGACACTTTTGGAAATCGAAAGAACAAAGCTTCTCATGCTCAGATTATGTTGGGCGTAGAATGCACCATGCTGAAAGGAAAAAAAGACAAAGAACAGCAGTTTTATATTGAGAAACAAGCTTTGGGTAATAGAATTACATCATAGGAAACCATGAAAGAACTTAACAAAAGATAAATATCTAGACATTCAGAGATTTAACAATTTACCTGAATATTCAACCAAAAACCCGGAGGTTTCACCGTCTTAGCCACATCTTCAACGGTCTGCACCGAGTACTTGGAATCAAATGCATTTGGCCGTGATAATATTCCCCGAATCACTGCAGAGGCGGAAAAGATTCACGAGACAACACTAAGTGTAAGACTTTTGACTACTTGCAGCAAGCGAAATGGCGAATCACAACATTCGAGATTATGCTGAAATGCGGGATGTACTAGAAAACACAGAAAAAGTTACCAAAGAAAATCTGCCAAGAATTACAATCCAACAGTAAAACGGATTAACTTACAGGCAACGTCTCCCAGATCCTTCAAGGTGAAATCAATGGAAAACCAGCCTTGAGTAGGGACACCATTAACAATGTAAGAACTCTGCCCTTTCGGGTAGACAACATCTATATTCGAAGCATTGCGCAGATTTACATCAGGGAAGCAAATCCCAACTCCATCCTTGGTTAGTTGCACATCACACCATAGGACAACGTCACTTACACTTGTCTGCAATGCCAAACCATAAGCATCGATACTCGAATCTGGAAGCAGTCCAGAAAACCCGCCACGAGCAATGACAAGAGGAGCATCTCCTGTAAGCGGAAAGACAAGAAGTGATTTTGACAATGTGGGCTTGAGAGAAACAAGATCATGCGATGGCAATGTCAAACCATCCATGTGGAAAGCCATGTCCTTGAATGGTTAAAACCAAACCAAAAATCTGATTCAGGAAAGAGCCCAAAATAGCCAGATGTATATCTTACCTTGAAAGTTCAAAAGCTACCTTCTATAAACAGACAAAGTAACCTAGATTTCCGTAGAAATGCAAAATCATAGTAATACCCTTGGCAATCCGAGGCTAATCCGACTTCTACATCACAGCTGAATCTCTTACAGATTCGGAAGTACAGCTCCGAATTCGATTTTCTCACGTTTTTCCTTTGTTTTCTCAGAAACCGGACAAAAATACCAACAACATCCCTGCTCAGATGTCGGACAGAGAGAGAGATGGGACTGACCAGTGAGTGTCTGCCATGGACTTCTCCCAGATCTTTGAGCATCGACTTGAGCAGCTAGGAGCTGCATCAAAACAACACCACAGAGTAGGAGCGTGGGAGCGCGTGATCCACACATTGCCGGAGACTCTCGCCGGAGTTTCATCGGGAGCTTTCCGGCGGCGAGTTCACCTTCTTTGTTCTTCTCGGAAACCAAGCGAGATTTGTTGCTTCTGCACTGATGTGTGTGTGAGAGAGAGAGAGAGAGGAGACCTTTGTTCTTGCTGGCATTTTCTTTTCGCCACTAGATTCGTATTTGTATATTTTTCATACACGTTAATTTAGTTTTCTATCTTGAATCAGAATTTATTAATTATAAATACTTTGTTTAATTTAGTTAATTTATAAAAACTGAGAAGATTTAATCACGTAGTTTGGACCGGCGACGAGCCGAGTTTGGTCGGCTGCCGTGAGCTGTTGGACCACGATGTTGAGTTCTTTGCTCCTCGTACTCTTTCGATGGACTTTGACCGCAATATTATTCACATGTTTTGTCTTCGAACAAAACAAATACGATAAAACCTGAATTTATAACCTTCTACCAAAAATTTTGAATTTGGTAAAAACTTTTATAAAAATTACAAATTTACCATTTTATTCCATATAAAATTTTTGACTTGTTTGATCAAAAATTTTGATAACGTGATACGACGTATTGGTAATATGACGCTAACTGAATTGGCACGTCAATATCATATCATCGTTTTTAAAAATTAAAATATTTCATAAAAAAAATATATGTACAAATATATATATAAACTTATACATTTGATTAAAATATATTTATATATATTTAACAAATATATATATATATGAATTTATATATGTAAATTTATATATTTGATTAAAATATTTGTATATTTAAAATTTTAAATTACAAACTTAATATATATACAAATATATATATATATATATATGTATAGATATTTGATAAAAATATATATGTATGTATAGGTATATATATATATTTGTATATTTAATTTTTTAAAATTATAAACTTAATATATATAACCAAAAATTAGAAATTTATATTTTAATTTTTAAAATGATGATGTAGCGCTGATGTGTCAATTCAGCCAACATCATGCCAGCAATCTATCGTACGTCAATAAAAAAATTTTCGTCAAATAAATCAAATATTTTATATAGAAGAAAATAGTAAGTTTGTAATTTTTGTAAAAGTTTTATATGAAACATTTTAACAAGTTTGGAGTTTTTGTAGAATTAATCTCATTTAAAAAAATAAAAAATATTATATACAGCAAAAACTATAAATATAATTTCTATTACCCTAAATTTTATCTCTAAATCTAATCAAAATTGTAATAATAATATAGAACCTACTTCCACGATCACAAAAAATCCAAACATATATATTTATAAACAATTGTTTATTTTATTAAAAATGTCAAAAAAAATTGTAGCCAAAAAGTGAGAGTTTTTATAAAAGTAACCAAACAAAAAATATCTATAATCATAATTGTGGCTTATATCACACCTGAAATAATATATTCTCAACATACGTAAATAATTAATTAATACTAAAAGTAGATTTAGTAATAATTTTATTATTGTATTTCTTTATGATTTTTGTATCCTGTCTTTTCTATTCTTATTACTAGATATTCACCTGCGCACATCGCGCAGACTACAAATATATAAAAAAAATTTAAAAAATTATTATTAATTTTAAATTTAAATACATTATATATTATTTTTAAATTTATAATTTATATCTTTAAATCAAAATGATAAGTAATTTTTAAAAATATGGAGATAACGATTTTTTTTTCAAAAAATAGTTGTGAATAATATTTTTATGTGTTATAATATAAAATCAAGGGTTAGAATATAATACTGATCATATAAATTTTTTATTTGTCAAATTATAATCTAAATTAATGAATTGTTTTTATAAAATAAGATTTTATAATTTTTCTACTGAAAAAACTAAGAAACTAATATTATATTATATTTGTATGTTACGTATATTTTATCAAATAATATTGATTTAATAACTCGTATAAAATAAGTTCACATCAAATTTAAATATATATGAGCTGGAACCTCATTTAATTAGATCATTTCAATTAGTTCCACTTGTATTTTGTTAAATTTATTTTTTACTGTTCTTTTACCCCATTATTTATTTTACATGATTCTTCAAGATCCGTCTTGAGTTCTTCGGTTATATGATAAAAGAGTTGGCTTAGTCCCTCATACGTGATATAATATCATCTCGTACGCCATCAATTATAAGAGCTGACGTCTCAAATAGAACAACACTTACCAGATCTAAATTCTAATAGAACTCGACATGAGTAACCTTTTACTTGAAGGACACGTTGCAAGATCTGATTTGATAAATATTTGAAAAAACTTCAAAACAAAAATCAATTGATGCTTAGAGAATTTTTATCCGACTAGACTGACATTTCACATTATCCCTCGTGAAAACTTTAACAGTTTCTACGGTGTTCGTTGAACTCATTTCACATTTATAAGTTACTTCAAACATTAATAAAAAAAATTATTTATTAGATCTTAATGATATTTTTGAAAAATTGAAATGTTAATGGTTACAATGGAATTTATTTTTTTATATGACATTTTTAAGACAATACATTTTTTCTATTAATTTTATAATATTTTGTATAATTTTATATTTTTGTGAAAAAAAAAGTCTCAGTCTCCAAATTATAAATAACTATTTTGAAAATAATTTTATTTGGAAAGGTGAGTTAGCTTTATAATTTTGTTAATGTTAATAGAGTATTTTAATTTCCTAACTAAACGAAGATAATGAAATGAAATGAACAAATATACTTAGATATTAATATAAATTATATAGTAAAATAAAGAAAAATACTCAATTACTCTCTATACAAATCATTGATTATAATATACTTTATAATTAGACTATTTGTTTGTAAATTATAACTCTCGTAAAACAAACGTATATTAAATCTAAAGCAATCAAATGAAAATGCTTAAACTGGTATACATTAACCGATTATCTATACCGATTCTACTAACCAAAATTTTATATTTTCCTAAATTTGTGATAAAAAAATAAAAATATATATATAATAGAAAAATAATGAGACATACACTTCTTTGTATATATACACATCCGTACATATATATACATACACATATATATACATATAGATAGTTAAATATATATATATATACACTTATATATATATGCAGATATATATACATGCACATACATATATATATATATATGCAGATATATATATGCATATATCTATACGTACCCATATCATATATATATAAATCTATATCCATATATACATATATATATATATATATAAATAGATATATGAAAAGGTAAAGCCATTTTACAAACGGGTTAGGTTACATACATGGTCTTTTAACACTCTCTTTTATAATGAAGTTCGTGGACAACCAATGATAATCGCTCAGTGATAAAGGAGGTAGGGGTGCAAACTGCAAAGACAGTCAAGAAGTTTACCTAGAAGTAGTCACCCTTGGATTTTCGAGGCATTGGATTCTTACCAATGTTTGTGTTATATCCAATTTTTAAGATTCGACAGTTGGATCTTAATAATTTAGAAAAAAATAATTATTTTTATGAATTTAACAAAATTTTAACGAAAATGAATATTGTACCTTTACTTATTATGATATGCAAATATATACCCCGATTAAATTATTTTGCGGATCGGCTCAGAGATATATATGTATATATATAAGTGTATATGTATTTGAATGTATGCATGTATATATATATGTGTATATATTTATCTAAGTGTAGATATATATGTATATATATATATTTATTTATGTGTATATGTATATATGTATGTGCGAATATATATTCATAATTCGTGGTTCAGTCGGGACAAACTTCTAGTTAGATTTTTAGTTAAAATTATTCTAAATATTTAAAAATAAATATTGTTAGCATTTATTTCTATATCAAACAAAAATAACAATAGTTCATATGAAATATACGAGATGATTAGAGAACGGTAACATATATATGTTGGAGATAAATACATATCTAAAAATTCATCTTTGGAATAACAATTTAAATTTGATATGTTGAATATTACATGATCACGATATGACCGACAAATATAATATAAAAATAATTTTTTAATATAAAAATGAATATGAAAATAATAAAAATTCTATAAATCCAAATCTTAAAAAAATATTTTTGATTGATCCAAACATAAACCAAATTTAATTGAAATTATAAAAAAAATAAATTAATATTTGAATATATATTTTTCACCATAAAAAATGAGATTATACATGGTGAGATCCGAACGATTCCACACCCTGTATCCCTAAATATACAATCCTCTTGCTCCTCGACCTTCATCCTCCATCACCATCTCGATCACCATCGTCATCGGAGCTAGCACTGAGCTATAATTACGTTCTTCATCTTTTTTTGGAAACCTGTTTCGAACTTATCTTTTGTGCTTTCACAGGTGCAATATCTAAGCATTGAAACATTGATTAAAATTTTAATATATTGATTAAATTTTTTATAAAAATTTGATGATATAAATATTTAAAAAATAATATAAATTATTTAATTAATAAAAATATATATCGATAATAATAGAGGATTGTAAAATCATCATTATTTATTATATAATAAGAATATATATATTTTTGTCTACACGTTATATATGTTTGATGTCTGAAAAATTATTTGTATAAATATCCATATACTCGGTAAATACGATTGATATGCCATAATCGTGATGGATATATATATAAAGATTCTTTTTCACCAAATACAGACAGAGACATAATATCGATACTTGCCTTAAATGGAGAGCGAGATATGCCATAATCTTGAAACTAATACGTTCTCCAATTATTCTATCGCTGATTATTTCAAGGCCTATAGTTTACACGACAACACAACTTTTGTATGGAACGGTAGGGCTGGGCATTTAAACCCGTTATCCGCGGATAAGCGGATATCCGGTCTCGTGGGTACCCGGAAAACGGGTACTCGACACCTAACGAAGACGAAAACGAGTATTAAAAACTAGAATACCCGTCATACGGGTTCGAATTCGGGTTTTACATGTTGAAATAACGGTTACCTGCGGGTACCCGCATATATATTAAAATTACAAAATTAACCTTATGTTTTTTATATAATTTCGAAAATACTTAGGTTATTTTACTTACCTTTAGGATTATATATTGAATTTTCAAGTTTGATGGATTCAACTTCAAATTATTGTATATTTTTTTTAAATGTTTCTAGGATTCTATGCATATTATTATATTTTAAAAATTTTCAAATTTAAAAATGTATTTTTGGAATAAAATATGTATATTTTTATTGATTATTTGATTTAATTTTCTATTGTTTAATATTTTATATACGGGTGCGGATACTCGCGGGTACTCGTCTTTTAGTTATGGGTACTCGTTGAACGGGTACCCGGATGTTGTGAGATAGAGACAGAGATATCATTTCTCTAAAACCCGCGAAGACGAAAACGAAGACGGGTATTTCCAAAAACGCGGGTACTCAACCCGTGCGCATTCGTATGGAACGGGAACGGGGCAGGTCATTGTTGCGAGACAGTTTCCGATCACAGAACATGACTTTTCTGATAATAACACCGTACCAACAAATTATAATTAATTAGAAAATGAGAAAATTAGAATCCATATGTTATCTTTTGTATTACAATGTAACTATAGCATGAAGAAATAAAATTATTGTTAATCGAACGAGATTCAATTGCTTAGTAAAAGTCACAAATTAATAATTTTAATATTTGCTACACTATAATAATGTATTATTATGCTAAATAATATTCTTTTTATACTACATCCCTCTAAGATTATGTATAAATCCCCAAATATTAAACTCGATTGTTCATATAATACAACCCATTTCAGTATTGACAATAACATGAATCATATGGATGTTCATATTTTCACAAACATTCATTCTAATCTTAATAGCACGACAATGCTTATGTAAAAAAAGGAACATAAATAGAATATGAAAATGTTATAATAAGGGAGATTCAATCAATTGTAACTCATTCTACTCTGGATATGTCCCCACCCAGTTCTTTCCGGCAGAACCAGCATGTTCCCTCTCGGCTTCAACCACGACCTCGGAATATGATACCTCCAAAAATCGAAAAAACAAAACAAATCCTGGCATTTGTCAATGAATTTAGACAAAAGGGTTCGGGTCCGATTCATGGACTTCATCAAACTCACCTGATGATGAACATTAGTCATAAAAAAAAAATAGAAAAATAATTCTGAAAAGAAAAATATATAATAACATGTATATATATATATATTCCAAAAATGATGGGTACAAACAAAATAAGCGAAACAAATAAAAAACAATAAAATTTCGGTTGGATCTTTGATCTTAAACACCCTGAAAATCGATTGATGAAACCCTGAAAGCATATTACCTATTTTATAGTGTAGAATTTTTTAAATTGAAATAACTAATGTTCAATGAATTTAAAACTCACTTTAAATATTTATACTACCATTGAATTTAGACAAATAAAGATGAAAGTGGTAAGTTGAATATGAACGTAAAATAATATTAAATGCCAGGAGAATAGAATAAACATTTCCTACATTATCGTAGGTGTAATGCCGTGATTAAAAAAACATTGATTTTGGCTATATGATTTTCGTAAAATTCATTTGAACTTAAATAAATATACGTACAACCCAACAGTTCAACTTCATGTGGCTCCTCGAACTTTGTGATTAGTGCACAAATAATTAAACTATGCATAATTTGTATCCCCAATGAGATTTGACTCCATTATGAGATGACAAAAACACAAAAATTTTCATATTCCTCTTTGTTGACACGTGGCATCCTCCGTTTCATGAAACTGTAATTTTATATATGATATATATATATATATGATATGATGTTTAGGATAGGTTTTCCTATTATTGAAAATATTTATTTCACATTAATCATTGTACCTGCTTACAGAAATTATCTAGCATGCAATGTTTCTGCCTGTACGGTCTCTTCATTTCTTGGGGACCACCATTAATGGCCATAATAATGGCTTTAAGTCCTCCAAAATTATGTAAGAGAAATAATTCATATTTAAAATAAAAATAGTATTCCCAAGGTAAATGCATACTGATATAGTACGATAAGAATGCAAAACATTGATAAAATAAAATTATTTATACTACAAGTATGCACAGAAACTTGAAGAGAAAAAACCAACAGTTTATAAAAACCTATTACAAACTTTATTGTAGGTAATTTGTAATTATAATATTTTGAAAAAATCTAAAAAAATACTTAACTTTTCAATTTTAACAAAATAAAACCTTTTACCAAGAAAAACATTAAAAATTTTTAAATTATCTAAAATAATACATAAATTATTTGATGAATATCAAATTAAACAATCGAACTAGTATAATGTACGAAAATGTTTACGTGACGGACAAAATATTGATACGACATGAATGTTTTTTTACACCACATCTTTACTTTCGTACGCCATATCAATTTAATTATTTAATTTGACATTAGTTGAATAGTTTAGGTATTATTTTGGACAATTAAAAAGTTTAGCATTTAAAAAAAAAAAAAGTTGTGGTATTTTTTGTTAATATTAAAAAGTTGAGTATTTTTTTTGGATTTTTCCTAATACTTTTCTCAATCGTATATTATCTTGATCTTTGAAAATGATTTTGACATTGATTTTATTTAAATGAAATTTATAATAATACGTAAAAACTGAAATAAATAGAAAAAAAATTATGCCATCGATTTTAAATAAATTTGGAATCAAGAGAATGATGTTGTGGTGGTTATCTGGAATAAAAAGGACAAATATGAAAAGACGGCTCGGTCGGCCCAAAGCCACGCCATAGATGATTGGTTACAGCTTTGGGGGGCCCCACAAATATGGCTTCCTATAATGTTTGACGTGGCAATGTTCTATTGGCTGCCATGAATGAATCAGCAAGGACGCGCCAAAAACCGGTCACATTGTATTTGCGTTGGGGACCAATGTCTTTGAAACCGGGTAAACAGGATTTATTGTCAGGTGATAAGTCAATTCGGTTGGAATTAATTTTATACTTAATACAAATCACAAATATCAATATAATATGAAGATATTTCAAAATATTAAGGAATCATTTATCATACATTGAATTATATTAAATCAAGAGAAACATTAAAATGCAAAAGAAATATCGTGGAAAATTATTGTATGATAAATAAATAATGTGTATCTAACTTCAGTTAAATATCATATTTAATTAGGGAATGACAATCCATACATATAAACAACAACAAACGTTATAAAAGTTTTATAATAAAACAATATTGTTTTTTACATATTGTTTTACATTTTCTAGATTTGAAACAACAACCATAAAAAAATTATAGAAATTAACCTATTAATTAAAAAAAAAAGCTGTGTACCAAATTTTGATTTTCGCACTTTATTAATGGCTAGCATTCATTGATATACATGACACCATGGGCGAACCCACTTCATCAGCAGTGGGGTCACTAGCCTCTACTAAAAATAAAAAAAGAACTTATTTATAAAATGTAATAAGATGTGAAAAATAATGCCCCCCACTTCATATTTATAAGTGACCCTCCCCTCATTTTTTTAATCGGAAATCAAATAAACATATCACATTTTTCTAATTTTTTTTAAAATTTCATCTTTCCTATATTTTTTTCTCTTCTTACATCTAAAAATAATAATCAATTTAATCGTAATAAAAAATTATCATCAATTTAATCATAACTTAATATAAAAAAATAACAACAACAAAATCAAATATATATAAATGTTATAATTTTTGTTTGAAACCATTTTTATTTTTTTTATTATTCGTTTCTATATATTTATAAGTATTTAGCATACTTATAAATATATATATGTGTGTGGATAATTTTTTCTAAAAAATTCTATTGAAATTCAAAAATAGTGATAAAATTTCAATCGAGAGCGTATTAAATTTTCATATAAACAAATTGACTTAGATGGTTTGGTTTTGAATCATGTTAATAAAAAAATTAAAATATCATCCTAATTAGATAGATAAGATAAAATATAATTTTTGAATGGATTATCTAATTTGTGTTATCGAAAAAGATATATTCTAAACGATTCCTAATAAAATTATTATGTAGAAATTTTAGAAAATAAAAAAATTGTAGAATTCAATTATAAAACATAAATATTTTTGTTAGTATATATTTTATTAATTTTTTATAATATATATATTAATATTACCCCCATTAAAATATTTTTCTGGATCCGGCACTGCATGACATACAAACAAAAACAAAAACCAAGTCCACTGTTTTATATAAAACCACATTAAAATGATATTACGAAATCTACAAATACAAATAGAAAAAAAAGGTTAACAAGGAAAATAGGCATAAAATTACAAGTAAAAAGATTTCTTATGTTTAAACGAGGGTTTACCAATAAAAACAAAATATTATAAATGAAAGTAAGGATTTTTTAGGTAAAATATATATGAAAGTTTGTTTACAAGAGCATGAATATTTGACCACTTATTTAGGAAATAATATTTCTACTGCAATAAAACATTAGTTTGAGGTTTAAATAATGGCAAAATGTGTAATTATTTATTTTATTGGTGCAAATCAGAATAATTCGAACTTAATGATTCGATTAGATTATGTCTCAACCTACACTCAGATTTCTAAATCAAAGCCAAGATTTGATGGTAATCATGCTAAACCATAGTAGCAGGACACTATATTTATATCTAACTATATTATATATATTTGAAAAAAAAAACTATATTATATATATAGTTAGATATTGAACATCTAATTTGGGCCTGAGCAGAACATAAGCCCATTATATATCAAAAACCCAAATGCTGACGTGGAACCATTATAAGATGAGAACCCGCAGGGGTTACACACTGGTGAGCCCACGCGCCCGGCACGTGTCACCTCCGTGTGCCACCTCGCCACTCGTCACCTCTGCGTTCCTCCGCGCGTTTCTTTCTCTCGGTGGGTTCTTCTGCGTCATTGGCCCGTGATGTCTCCGAGCCTTGGCGATCAAAATCGAAGAGTTCGAGAGCTTATTCCGACATTCTCAAGGAAATGGGTTTTGGGTTTACGGCGTGTTTTACGAGGAACCTCTCGGCGGAGCATCCCACGGTGGTGCTCATAACGGTGTTTGTTGCGGTTCTCTGTCTCTGTCTGGTTATCGGCCACTTGCTTGAAGAGAACCGATGGGTTAACGAATCCATCACCGCCATTTTGGTCGTGAGTTACTTCACTTCTGCGAATTTTGTTTCCGTTCTTCAGTATAGTTTGGAGAGGTTTTGATCTGCAATCGTATGGAAAAAGGTTCTACTGTCACTGGGCTTGTCGTTGTATCTAATGCTACGGAGCAGAATCTTGATATGGATTTAGTTTTTCGTCATTTGGGTTTCTTACAACATACGGAACAAAGCTCCGCCACTGTTGCTTCTGTAAATCTGAGCTTCTCGTTTCAACATTCTGGGGATTTGAAGGGTTTTGTCTTTTGAATGACACTTCGCTTCGTAGTTTTCGTTTCACTGTCCTGAGAAATTATGTTTCTACTCCCAACATGGGTTTTGTCCTGAGTCTAAGACGATATCGATTTCAAGACTTGGGGTGTCCTGTCATTGACAAATTCTTCTGGATGGTAACTAAGAATTTTATTGTAATGTTGCAAATAGGGAGGTGTGTCGGGGACGGTTATCTTGTTAATCAGCAAAGGGAAGAGTTCTCACATCTTGGTGTTCGATGAACAACTCTTCTTCATATACCTCCTTCCCCCTATAATTTTTAACGCTGGGTAAGCTTGGACTGGTTTAGTGGCCTGCAATATAAATGGAGCTTAGTATCTAATGCCATTCCACATTACTGTTTGACTGAGGGATTCAGCTTGTTGCAGATTCCAGGTCAAGAAAAAGCAGTTCTTTCAAAACTTTTTGACCATCATGTCTTTCGGGGTGGTCGGAGTTTTTATTTCGACTTTCATAATAGCAGCTGGTAATACCTTTTGTTCTTAGACACCCTCGACTCCATGTCATTTGATCATAGCTTCAGATTGTAAAGCCGGAAGTTTGTGTCTTAGTTGCTATAATCTCTGTTTTTTGTTGTCTGAACTAGGCAGCTGGTGGTTGTTTCCCAAGTTAGGATTTGCTGGATTGACTGCACGAGACTATCTTGGTGAGATTTATGGTTAATTTTTTGTTGTCTCTCTGCATTTTTTCGTTATCACGATATGATTTTGGTTTATCACTTGTGAGGATAGTTATCAGTTGCAAGTGAATTTCTTGTTGTCTTGATTCAGCCATCGGTACAATTTTCTCATCAACTGATACCGTCTGCACACTACAGGTTCTTGATTTCACAACTATCTGTCCTTTGACTTCTTCTTCGTGGTTTGATTTGGTGGAAAAAAGTTTTTAAAGATTCTATCATCACTCTTATCAGATTCTACATCAAGACGAAACTCCGTTTCTATACAGTTTAGTGTTTGGCGAAGGAGTGGTGAATGATGCAACCTCAGTTGTTCTATTCAACGCTGTTCAAAAGATCCACGTTGAAAAGTTCAACGGTTGGGCAGCTCTTCACATACTCGGAGATTTTCTTTACCTTTTCTCCTCGAGCACTGTTCTAGGAGTTGGAGTAAGCTATCGGGTCTATCATGTAGTTGTTCCCTCTGAAACAATATCTTGAGTTATTGGACCGATATATATGAATATTTTGGTTGTCTTGCAGGCGGGGCTATTAACATCTTATGTCCTTAGAACCTTCTACTTTGGAAGGTAGTCTAAAGTAACTTGAAGATTGTTAACCTTGAACTTAAGCTTATCGGTGTCTGTGTGTTCATCCGCATACTCTAGAGATGCCTTTTAACATTCTTTGACTGGCCGGCTGCTGACAGGCATTCGAGCACACGTGAACTGGCAATAATGGTTTTGATGGCATACCTTTCGTATATGCTGGCCGAGGTAACATCTCCCTTACCGTAAAACGGGATTTACTCCTCAAAGATCACGATTATCTACAATGTGGTAATTTTTTCTTTTTTCTGTTAGCTATTAACTTTTTCAAAATCTTTGTAATCCGGTATAGTTGTTTTCTTGCAGCTCTTTTCTCTAAGTGGCATCCTCACAGTTTTTTTCTGTGGGATTCTAATGTCACATTATGCATGGCATAATGTCACAGAGAGTTCAAAAATCACTTCCAAGTACTCTCTCGCCAACGGATATCTTTTGCTTTCTAGGCTCTAGTGCGAGAAATGATTTCTGATTAATCATCCCTTTTTCTGCAGGCACGTGTTTTCGATGATGTCCTTTATCGCGGAGACGTTCATATTTCTGTACGTTGGAATGGATGCGCTTGATATTGGGAAGTGGAGGACAAGCAAGTTGGGGTGCGATGTTGTGTCCGATCATCTTGGGTTTAGTTAGAAAAAAGAGCTTCAGATAAAAATTTTCCTTCCATCTAGGATGAATTAGCCTGAAAATGGAAGGAATAGATAATGTTCATCTGCTTTTGGAATAATTTGCAAGAAAATGAGATTCATGCTTCTTTTTCTTCCCGTCTTGTTGCAGTTTTGGTGGTTCTGTCGGTGTCTCTAGCACCATTGTTGCGTTAGTATTGCTCGGCCGGGTGGCATTCGTCTTTCCCCTCTCTGTCTTGACCAATTTCACTAACAGGAGTGCCGAAAGAAACGCCTATATCTCATTTAAGCATCAGGTCAGTGTTCTATTCCCTTGCACTTGATGAATCCTTAGTTAACTCCTTCACCAAACTTTTCCTGTGTAGTCTCAAAATATATTTGGTACAAAATCATGAAATTTATCCCCTTTGCCTCCTAGGTGATAATCTGGTGGGCAGGGCTTATGAGAGGAGCTGTGTCAATTGCTCTAGCTTTCAAGCAGGTTTTACTCACTAACAGTGTGTTTTTTTTAATTACACTTGTGCCCTGGATAAATTATGTTATGTAATATATTTACGTCCATATATATTTTCGTGCGCCAAGTTCACATTCTCAGGTGTCACTCTGGATCCTCTGAATGCTGCTATGATCACCAACACGACTATTGTTGTCCTCTTCACTACACTGGTAAAGTTAACATAACTCCTTGTGTCTGTTCCCTCCATTTTCTGGTGAATAAAACCGTGAATTCATTTCTCTTCGGTTTCATAGGTTTTTGGTTTTCTGACAAAACCACTCGTCTGCTGCTTAATTCCTGATGCTGCAAATAATAATCATGTGGAGCGTGGTTCACCCAAAGAGGACGGTGTGCTACCTCTGCTTTCTTTCGAAGAGTCTGCTTCCACCAATTTCGACCGGGCAAAGGATAGCCTGTCCCTGCTGATGGAACAGCCTGTTTACACGATCCACCGATACTGGAGAAAGTTTGACGATACGTATATGAGGCCTATTTTCGGAGGGCCCCTTCATGGAATTCAATCAGAGTGCTAAGTACTCGAGGTTTCCTTTCCCCTTCCTCATGCTAGCCATAAGATTATACTCGCGGAATTATGACTTATATACGTTTACCATCCATAATGATGCGTGAGCTGTTTGCTTCTTGCAGTTCGTGGATCTATATACCGAAGTCACGGGCTTGCATGAATCGAAAAGGCTATGAATTTGCAAAAATCAAGCTGACCCTTATGGTTTCGAGCTCAAGTTTCATCGTGGCAAAGGCCTGATGAATCGGTTTTGGCTAGTTTTACTTGTAAGAGGGTGTGAGCGGAAACGAGAAAAGCTCCAAATATCAGCACTTTTTCATCTTTCTTAATGTATAAAGCATAGTTATTCTATATCCATAAAGCGAATATCGTTATACATTTCTGAAAGATAGTACAGATACATAGAATAATGCAGGACTCCGAGTACAGCATAATATAGGGCAAGCCTGTGGAAGCAGTCAGCTCACTTCTTCAAGCTGCATGGGCAAAAAAAGACACGTGAAAACTGTAAGCCACTCGTTCATAAGTTTGTACTAAAAGCGTCTTTATTCGGGTTTTTCTTCCCTTCTTTGATCTCCTTAACATGTGGTTTTTTCCCCTCACCTTTTTGTTAGCTATTATGATAGAAGATATATATATATATATGTATATATGTATGTATGTACAATAGTCCAAAACTAACACCAGAAAAGTAAGTGTATGGGCCATGTTTAAGATATGTTTTATAGTACCATAGCACGCAGGAGGAGCATTAGAGATGCCGCATTTAGACAAGAGAGTAGTAGCTTTAGAAGGGTCGATCCCGACGGCGGGGAGATAAGACTTGTACTTGCAGAGACATGAGAGGTCAGAGCGTTTGATGACTCCGCAGCACTCGCCGGTGGGTGGAGGAGGCTGGTTCCCAGTAACAGCCGCTCGGCATTGCCCCAGATCGTTGGTATCGATGTTGCATATCGGAATACCGTAAGCTTCTTCCACAACAATGGCCGTGAGAGCCATCGCCATGACCAGACATTGCAAGAAAACTCTGGTACTCATCTTCTGCTCTCTCTCTCGTTTCTTGGCTGAGTTTCAGCTTCTGGTTAGGTTCCTTGTTTATATGGAGAGAGAGAGAGACTTTTCTTGGAGAGAAAGTCTAAGAAATGGACGTATCTGGAGACTTTTCTGGGTGGAAAAGCAATCTCTCTCGAATTGCAAGGAAAGAGAGGAGGACCCGAGTCTTGGGAATTACGGTGAACTTTCGAATTAAAAAAAAAAAATAAGAAATACCAATCTTTAATGGAATACAGTTTGATAATATTGGAGCAAAACCAGTTGAACTAGTGGTCTGTCTCCCTGATGTTGGATCCTCAAAACGGTCGCATCTTGGAGTTACTGTGTTTTACGGCGGCTCTCTTCCAAAAATTCTCCCCTTTTTGTTCTTTCAAGGTTGTATGTTTACTTTAGAAACTACATTTACTTCGGTGTCATGTCGGGTTTCAGTTTGATTTGAATTCTGTTAGGACTCGATTCAATGTTTCATTTTTTTTTAATACAGATTTTTTTTTAAACTTCAATTTTTTTTTTAAAAAAAAAAAAGAGGAAACGAAATGGCAAAGCAGGGAAAGTCACGGGTCCTTGGAATATATGGCGGCGTTTCTGTAGACAATCATTGACGTGTGAAACTGCATACGCATGTCTCTCTGTTTTTGTTAGCTGTCGGCTTACTCCTCCCCCCTCGTGACATGATTTTTAGTCTTGGTCGTCGTCGTGTCGTCTGTAGACAATCAATTAAATTCCACATTTATATACCCACGGTCCATCAATTATATATATATATATATATATACCAAGATCTACTATTAAATTTCTCTTACATTTCCTCTCAAAGTGAGGAATTTAATTGATTTAGTTGTTCACGTGTCTCTTTCCCAAATCTTTGTATTCCGTTCAACTGTATTACGTTTTCATCTAATCGCATATACATACAGATGAGTTGTATAGTCGCATGGGCTTCTTTTTGGGCCCAAATATATTTCTGGCATCTCTCCTCTCGGCCCAATATGAAGATCCATTTAGTATATACATACATATATCGTTTAATCGGTTGATATAAATATAATAAATGTGGGAGGACGTCGTGCATAGCATTAGCACGTGTGGGACAGTGAAATCGGCCGAATCGGTCGGTGGGGCCCATCATGTTCTCGAACACACATATATATATATATATATATATATATATAATATTATATGAAAATCGGAAAAAACAAAAGGATAACGTGACGAGTGATAATCTTTTATTTCAAAAAATATTTGGATAATTGGATCCACGAAGAACGAACTGTTAAAAAAAATTTAACTTAATAGACGTTTTTATATTAATAATAACAAATAATGGAAAAACCTGCAATATTTTTTAAATGGGAAAATTGTTTTAAAAATCTCATAGACGAAAGAAAAAATATAGTTTTCATCTCAAAATATATCTTTCTGATAATTTTATTAATTAATTTAAATATCTTTCCAATATTTTTAAATTTAGAAGCATGAATGAATTGTTGTTATATGTGGTAATCTTCATTTGGGTATTATTGCCTTTTGAGTACTAAAGAAAAACGTGAGAGATTATTTATTTTCTTACCAAATAAATAATCATAAAAATATCAGAGAGACAGATACAAATATTAATTAGTTATTAATAAAATGCAGGAAAAGACATGGGTCCAAATGCTGACAAATATGAGATCTCGTTAAAAGGGACACGTATGTAGACGCCGTTACGCTTGAGGTCATCTTCTCGCCCCTCTCGTCCATGTGGAGGCACCGCCCCTTTCACTTGTCGTCCCCACAGAGCGAGTAATCTAAGCTATTCTATACTCGCGCGTGTGATCAGCCCCACAAAATCCACCACGACTTCCAAGCTTTCAATGCCGGTGTGGCTTCTCGCTCGCTGCGCCAAAAAAAAAAAAACAAAAGAAACTCGTTTTCCCTCGCTCTCTCTCTCTCTCCATCGCTTTGCCCCCATACGAAGCTAAAATCGATCCTCTCTCTCTCTCTCTCTCTCTCACCATCTCTCTCTCTCTGTGCGTATTGGGTTCTTGTGGCATTGGGCTTTCCGTCTTCCAATGGTTTCAGCAGCGAACAGATTGACATCGATATGCAGTATATACACATTTACATAGAGAAGCAGCGTTCAATGCGGAATATCATCATATCGTGCTGTTAGAGGCGGGTTTCTGTAAATCGGGTTCTGATCCTTTTCTTTTAGAAATTGCTTTTGGATATGTTTTGCGTGATAGAGCTGTGTCGTTTTAATCTATCTGGAACCGTAGGGATTGTCAGTTTTCCATTTTTGTTCTGTTGATGATTCTCTTTTCTATATATAGAACGAGTCTTCTGGGTTTGTGTATAGGTTTCTGTTTTTCTTGTCTGTTTCCAGGTTTTTCTGGTTCCTGAGGCTTATAACGATCTGTTTTCGAGAAGAATTTGACTAATGTTGCGACATCCTTGATTTTGGATCCAGGGTTTTGATTGTCGGGATCGGGGTTTCTGTTCGATTCTTCGTTTTGGTGTTCCTCTGCCGAGAGTTAAGAGAAATTGCGTGTTCTTCCCCGTGTGATTGGTGAGCGGGAAAATGTCTGGTTTCGTGGGTGTTATCGTTTCGGATCCATGGCTCCAGAGCCAGTTTACTCAGGTCGAACTTCGGAGCCTCAAATCCAAGGTATGCTCTCTTACCGATGTATGTCCTTGATACACACGAACACACATATGCTTCTGTCTCTATAATCGTGTCGCATTGTCGTTGGATCTAATCTAAGCGAGAAAGTTCTGGCATTGTGATTGACGGCCAATTCTAAGGATATGGCCGATGGTCGTTTGATCTGTAAGGAATTTTGCTTTCTTGTGTAGTTTACATCGTTGAAGAACCAGAGTGGTAAAATCACCATAGAGGATCTACCGCCAGTATTCGCCAAACTGAAGGCTCTTAGTGCTACATTTAAGGAGGATGAGATAAGAGGAATTTTGAGCGAACTGGGTTCCCAAACAACCGGTGATGTTGATTTCGAAGCTTTTCTCAGGGTTAGTCTATCGAATCTATCCTCTGGTGTTTATCGTTTGATTGGCTATAGGGTGAGTTCTGATGTTATGTGGGTGAATTGATGTATTGTGCAGATATATCTGAATTTGCAAGGTAAAGCGGCCGAGAAATCGGGTGGCCACAAGAACTCATCTTCGTTTCTTAAAGCCAGTACAACTACCCTTCTTCATACCATAAATCAGTCGGAGAAGGGCTCTTTTGTTCACCACATCAACAGATATCTCGGGGATGACCCGTTTCTGGAACAGTTTCTTCCTCTTGATCCGGATTCTAACGGTCTGTATGAACTTGTGAAAGATGGCGTACTTCTATGGTAATGTGCACTTATATGTTAAGAGTTTTATCAACACCAAATACATTTGATTTTCTGGTTTTGATTCGTCTGTTTCCTCATGTTGCTACAGTAAGCTCATAAATGTGGCAGTTACGGGGACAATAGATGAACGTGCCATAAACACGAAAAGGGTACTTAACCCATGGGAGAGAAATGAGAATCATACCCTTTGTCTCAACTCTGCGAAAGCTATTGGCTGTACTGTGGTCAATATTGGAACACAGGACCTGGCTGAGGGACGGGTATGTTTTTGCCTGCTTATTGGTTAGGATCAATATCTGCCATTCCGTCCTCTGGATGAGTACCATAGTTTACGTGATTGCAAGTTCCGGCATTATTTCTGAAAATGGGAAAGGAAGTAAGAAAAAAGGAACTTATATGTCTAAATTTTGCTCTGCTTTCATTATTTCGCAGCCTCACCTGGTGCTTGGATTGATTTCACAAATCATAAAGGTAAGCAGATTTCCGTATGTCTTTCCATATATCTTCCTTTTTTGTTTGTGCTTGAGATATTAACCAAACCCATGCTTGCAACTTCAGATTCAACTGCTAGCCGATCTCAATCTGAGGAAGACGCCTCAGCTCGTTGAGTTGGTAGAAGACAACGATGTAATGAATTGCAGATCACATCGTTATCCCAAGTGTTTGTGCTCGTTGTAGATAAATAATTCATGAGTTGTTTCCTCTTTCAGGATATTGAGGAGTTGCTGCGATTACCCCCTGAGAAAGTGTTATTAAAATGGATGAACTTCCATCTCAAAAAAGGCGGTTACAAGAAAACCGTCGCAAACTTTTCTTCTGATTTGAAGGTATATTATTTCTCAAATAGCAATTTCGTGATTCCCTCCCTTGAAAACCCTTTTTTCCATCGATAGATCTTTTGGATTCAGAGTATATTTTCAACTCTTCAATTGAAAAATTGGATGCTAACTCGTAAAGAGTGAGGATTTTTTTCTTGTTTGCCTTGACCTTAATTGTTCTGGCTTGGTATAGCAAAGTTGAATCAGCTTCTTCTGTAATAAAATATTTTACTGGTGAAATCTGCAGGATGCGGAGGCTTATGCTTACCTGCTCAATGTTCTTGCACCTGAACACTGTGATCCAGCTACACTAAATGCAAAGGGTCCTCTTGAAAGGGCTAAACTGGTCCTCGATCATGCAGAGAGAATGAACTGCAAGCGGTATTTGACTCCAGAAGAGATTGTCGAAGGCTCCCCAAATTTGAATCTCGCGTTTGTGGCTCAAATATTTCACGAAAGGTCTGTATCATGATATGCTTCATCTCGCAATAGGTTCATAGAAGATGGGTTGTTCCTTATGGTGTGTGAATATCAGCACAAATAAAGAGGGGCTGATAGTCTCGTTTGGTGATATAGAATCCCCGAATAACTTTTTAAGAGCACTTATAAGAAACTCACATATGATCTTGGAGATTTCATCACTCTGGATTTTAATCATCTTTCTCTCCTTGAACTAAAGCTTGCCTTGTATCTGCTGCAGGAATGGTCTTAGCACAGATAGTAAGTTTTCCTTTGCGGAGATGATGACTGAGGATGTACAGACTTGCAGAGACGAGAGATGCTACCGATTATGGATCAACAGCCTCGGGATTGACAGTTATGTCAACAACGTGTTTGAAGATATCAGAAACGGGTACGCTTTTATTTTCTTGAATCACGAAGAAAGAAATTTAACCAGTCTTATCTGTAATCTGTTGGTGGTTTGATAAAATTCTGGAAATGTTCTTTATACTGTTTTCATGCAGATGGATTCTTCTGGAGGTTCTTGACAAGGTCTCTCCTGGTTCAGTTAACTGGAAACACGCTTCGAAACCGCCCATTAAGATGCCGTTTAGAAAAGTAGAGAATTGCAATCAAGTCGTGAAGATCGGGAAGCAGCTAAAATTCTCTCTGGTGAATGTAGCTGGAAATGACATAGTTCAAGGGAATAAGAAGCTCATACTTGGTGATCATTCTTTCTTGTCTCGGTCTCTGAGTTTTTACGAGTGAAAAAAAAATGCATTCCTTAAAAATTCTAAACGTTGGAGGTGTCTGTATCAGCTTTCTTATGGCAGTTGATGAGATTCAGTATGCTCCAACTTCTCAAGAACCTCCGTTCTCGGACACGAGGGAAAGA